TCGGTATCTTATAACAAAAATCATTTTATTCCAAATTTAATGATAGTCAAACAAACAATAGAATAATAATAATCATTTTATTTCATAACGATTCACCGCGTCACACCAAACAATGGAATTAGAATAGCCATTCTATTCTAATTATCATTCCATTTCAAGTTACATTTCATTCCATTCCTGCACACCAAATGTAGATTAGGTAATTATTTAATTGAAATACAAACAAGATGTTTCAAGTCATTATTAAAACAAGTTACCTATTAAAATAAATTAGGTAATTATTTAATAAAATAATTTACCAAATAATAAAATAAATTATCAATTAAAATTAAATAAATAATTATTTAATTGAAATTCAATCAAGATGTTTCAAATTATTAAATAAATAACTAATTCAAATTAAATAGGTAGTTATTTAATTGAAATTCGATGTTTCAAATCATTTATAGATAAAGTAATAAAATAATTTACCAAAAAAATAAAATAAGTTACCAATTAAAATAAATCCTATTATGCTCGAAAAATCTTCAAGGTTTAAAACAACTTTACTTTTTCTCTTTGATTCTATTCCTAACTCTTTCCTAAACATATATATAGATCTAAATCTTTCCAAATAATAAAATAAATTACCAATCAAAATTTATTAATTGTTTAATTGAAATTCAATCAAGATGTTTCAAATCATTGTTCTTCAAGGTTAAAATCAACATGAATTTCATTAATCATGTTGATATATATATATATATATATATATATATATATATATATATATATATATATATATATATATATTTGTTTAATTATGTTTTATTCTTTGAATTGCATTAATTATGTTGATTTTTTTATTTTTTTGTGTTTGTTTAATTATGTCATGTCAACATTTATTAATTAAATAAATGAGTTTTCTAATTTTATAAATTTATTTCTTATAAGTTTTTAAATATTATATATTTCATTCTCTATATATATATATATATATTATACAAATAATGGCAATCCATAATTGTGACAACACATTTTGCTTCATAAATATTTAAAATTTTAATAATAATGATTATAAAATAATTTTTCATCATGCGTATGTTTTACTTATATATATATACACTAAAATTTAGCTCAAACTGCTATAATAGATTATGGACCCTACCCACATGGTCCATGTCATTTACTTGGCTTTTCAAGACAAAAATCTACTGCCATATTCTAAGTTTCCATTAAAACCTAAATTGGGGTTTATGTACTAAAAACTACGGTAGCATCTTCTTCTTCTTTGGCATAAAGCCAAAATGTTTCCTTTATTATCTTCTGACTTCCGATAGCCTTCTATTTAAAAAACACACAAACACACACAGCCTCTTTCAAGCAGAGTTTGAAGCTCTATGATGAAAAAATTATTGGTCTAGAGTATAGACATGGGTTCTTGCGTTTCAATGCATAAAAACTGTATGAAGGAAAGTGTATTGATTGAATCAAGCAACAAGGAGAATGCAGTCCAAGGCCAAGAACTCGAGCCTCAATTGTCGTCACTCGCCAATGCAACAACTTCAAGAGACCCAAGTACGAATCTCTTTTTGCAGACTAAAATTTAAGATTGTTTGATTAAATTGAAAAGATGACATGGATAATACTAGTTCGATCTTATTCTTACAGTATTTTTATTGCATATTTATTTGTACTTACTTGAATCTAACTGTAAGTCTACACTGTCCTCGCCCTTTGGTGTTCTAAAGAGATCCTCCGGTGAGAACCCGGATCCTCTCCGGCTTATTGTGTTTTACTGTGTAGATGTGCAATACCATTACATCGAGAATACATTCTCAAATGCAACTCGGTGTTACATTTTTGAAGTAAAGTTGTTGAAGTATACATTTATATATAATGTATTACATGGGTGTTGCATTCTTCAATTAAATGTGCCGGCTTCTTGTAAATTTTGTATTGGTCTTGAAATTTTTTGACTCATTTTTCTCTTGCGGATTGTAGGCTCGGTTTTAGAACTCTTATAGACCAAATATATAAGAACGTTTAGGGTGAAATTGTTGGCTAGATGTTCACCCTCAATATAGGTTTTACACCACATAAATCTGCATTCTTTATGTGTTTGTTTTTTTGTGATTTATTAATTTGTTCTTGGGTGTTTGTTACAACACATCATGTTAAATGACCCTAGTCTCATTTTGTTTGATAGTACTGTATGAAAGATTAAGTGCCTTAGTTTGTAATTCTGAAAACAGTTTTTGAAAACTCGGAAAACAGAAAATAATTTTTAGAGAACAATAAAATTAGTTTAAAAGAGAGTTTGTTTTCAATAAACTGAACCAATCAGTAATTTTTTTGTAGAGTTTTCAGTTTTATGATAAAGGAAAACTGTTTTCAGACTAAGCAAGCCCTAACTAACTACTATTTTTTTTTTTTTTTAAATTGTTGGCACTCTGTTTGGTTGTTGGAAAGATTGAGAGAAAAGAAAAGCTACTGATGGAAAATTCATACGCGCAAGCCAGATTTAATCATTTTCCATCATTTCTTTCCAAAATTTGTGTTACATTTTGCAATGACCAGATGATAGACTCTATAATTATGTTATCTCCCATCATTATATACCATGTTAAATGGAGTAATTGTGTTTTTCTCTCTCTTCTTACCATAATTACCAACACTCTTTATATTAATCTATATTTTCTTACAGTGAAACTGTACTACCATACATGAACTATAATAGGTATGCACATTAGATCATACTTCACTTAATTTCTCAGAAAGTGGATACAGATACATCACTTATTTAGTAAAGGAGGATTTGTGATTTAAGCTCAATTTGTTAAATCAAAGTGCAAATTAGTCTTTCAAATTGACATGCATAGAACAAGTTATCAAACACAATAACCTACTGGTTTGTGGTCTTGTGTATATTCAATTCCTTTCATTTTCACACACTGTTCTTGAGTTATTCGACGAGCTTCAGAGGTTCCAGCTGAAGTATGCCTGTAAATTCTATGCAGATAGTAGAGAGGAGATGTTTTTCGATTCTAATCTCTGGTTGGAATCTGATTGTGAAGATTTCTTAAGTGTCAATGGTGGTAAGATTACCCTAAACATATTGTATCGACTTTCGGTTTCTCTCTCTCTTCGTTTCTGTTGGATGTTGTCTTGCAGGGAAGAATTCTGCATTTCAGATCGCGCTGAAGCTTTTATTTCTTTACCTTCTTCCTGACAAGCTTGTGAAATTCGTGCAGATTTCACCCCGTCTCGTGGAAACACTCCAATCCATCAGTCCAACTTCAAACAAGCTCCACAACTTGATAAATCTCTCAATAAGAACAGAACATTTGACTCCTTGCCTGAACCTTCCGAAACTGATGCAAAGAAGACCTTACTTGAGCTCCTTTATGAGAGCTTCAGTGGTGAACAAGTTGATGTTGATCAGAACTTTCAAGGAACCAAGACTGCTGTGAGAAACAGAATGCTGGAAGCCAAGCTTTCGATCCTTCTTCTGTCACCAAAATCCACGAATGGAACTCCGTTGTCTGTGGTAACTTCTGTTTGCAGTAATGAAATTACCCCAAACAGAGCTTCAAAACCCGAGAGAGAGAAACTGTGCCGGTCAGTTTCATGCTGTCTTCCAGGTGTGCCTCGGAGCCTGAGCTTTCGTGACAGGAAGAAGCGGCTGAGCCCTGCCTACATTGGAAGAAAGTGAGCGAATTTTCCCCTCTAAAAAGACTATTTTTTGAAGTTCATACGCAAGCAAAATTTCGAATCCTTAAAAGTTACTTGTCAAATTATTTTTATGATATTACTAGTGATTCTATTATATCTACGAATCAGCCAGAATGATGAAATAGTACCCCTCAATTTTTATGTGTTTTTTGCTGCATCTTTGAAGTCCAATAATCTTCAAAGACTCTTGTACAGTTGAAAGATGCACATATACATGGCAATTCAAGGTCAATGTCAACTTTAGAGGAATGGTTATGAGAGAAACTGAAGAAAGTAACTGAAAAAAAAGGGATCAAACACAAGGACACACAGATTTTACTGTTCACCTAAAGAATTAGGGATGCATATACGGGTACAAGGATTTCCCTATATGAGAAAACGGCAGAGAGTAAAAAGAGTTCAAAATAAATAAATACTCTCAGCATTAGAGCAAAATAACAAGTACGCCAAAAAAAAAAAAAAAAATCAGAGCTAAGGTGAACAGCATTTATCAGGTTCCGCACTACTCATCGGTAACCTCCTTAAAGAACCCTGTATATCACAGTAGATTCACAATACGTTCTATCATGTAGTCTGAAATACATAAATGTTGGAATAGACGAACCATGATAAACTAGCAGTTCCAATTCTGAGTTGGTTTGAGCTTTTTACTACGGACCATAAGCACGAAACTTAGTTGATGAACTATTGCCTAAAAGTTGTTGCAACCTCTGAGATTCATAGTTGTGCAGATTAAAATGTTTTCCCCTCGCAACTACTTTTCTGGACATAGCCATTCCTCGATAGCACCAGTTCATCATATAGTCTTAAGAAGTCATTATATTGACTCGAATTATTACTTACAGTGAGAAGATAAAATGCTCTCACTATATTATACTAAGCAAACTCCAAATACCAACTCTTGTATGCAACCTAAAATAAAAGACCAAAAAAAAAATAATAATTATAATCCATGAGAGATCCTGCAAATGAATATAGGATGGGATGTCTTTCCCAAAGAATACTGCAAAGAGTTACCATTTAATTAACTCAGTAAGTTATCCTGTGCATGTGTCTCATCTTTACAGAAGTCCTTCAACGAAGTGAGTGATCTCCGAATGGAGAAAGAGAATTCATGTGGCTAACCCCTTTTCCATGTGGGATAGAAGTAAGGATGGTGATAACGAAGTATATTTTTTCAAAGAGTCTTAATTTTTAGAGCTTCTCTCCAAAACCTAAATCAGTATCGAAAAATTGTAAACAGAAAACAATCCATAACCAGGAAAACACAATTACTTGCAATCGAGTTACAGAACTAAGCAATTAAATTAACACCTGAAGAATATTTATGCAGACAGATCTGAAACCTAACAGGACCTAATGAAACAAGCAACTGACTGTCAATAAGAAGAACAATTCAGTCAAGGAAAGAACACCCAGCAAATCAACAGAATCATTTTAGACTTAAGATCATCATAAACATGAGGGCAATGCACCTTTCATGCCTTTATAGTGACGCTGCACAAGCACAAACCAGACGGCTTAATCTGAGAGATCTGCCACTCTGAGCCTGGGGCCGCATTTGGATCATACAGCAGGGTGTTAAAACCAGGTTCCTCCTCCAACGAGAATAGCAAAAGCTTTCCGTCCAGTATGCCAAACCGGAACCCGATTCTTGAGCTCCCAGTCACAGGAACCGGTTCCATCTTCCATGAATTGTCCTCTGGATTGAATATAGCTAGTTTCCGCTGATTCTTCCACTCCATACAAAAGAGTTTTTTTCCCAACACAGCATGAGCAGTGACCATAACGCAACCATTTTTCATCTCGCACCAGGCGTGCCTCTCGGGTGAATAGACATCAACAAACTTTGAGTTTCCAATTGTGAAGCTTGACCTTCCACCCATAACATAAAGCTTGCCCTCAAATCCACAGGCAAAGCAACCCCATCTTGGACGGCGAAGAGATTCGATTAGGGTCCACTTGTTAGCATCAGGGTTGTACATCTCAGCACTAGAAAGGGACTCACCATCCATCCCATAGCCCCCAACTGCATAAATTACACCATTAACTTCTGCACAAGCAAAATCATAGCGAGCCACGTTCATGTCTGCCAGTTTGCTCCACCTACGATTACACAAATACATGTTAAAAGTTAGTCAAAATGAATATAAATGATAGTATTCTTAGATGAATTACCTTCACAAGAAGCAGAGAAAAACAAATTATGTTGAATTATTTGATCACAATGTCATGTAGTTTGTTTGGTGAAACTACTGGAGCATAAATTGGCCATTACGAGACAATTCCCTAGGGTCCAACCAAATTCTGGCCATTACGAGACAATTCCCTAGGGTCCAACCAAATTCTAGTTTTATGAAGGATGATGCTCGCAAAATGGACATGCATTATTAATGCCATATGATATGACAGGCCTAATGAGAAGTCCAGAAGAGAGGAATTTCTCTATCTGATGGTTGGAAGGTTGTCAAATCTGTTTCACAACCACCACTTAATAGAGGACCTACCAAATGGATGAATATAACTAGGGGCTCAATTGAAGAACCCAAGCACCCCAAAAAGCAATACAAAATTAATCAAACCTTTTAAATCTGAACTAAGTTGCCTAGGGCATGTTTCTAGGTTAAATAACTAAATCTTCCAAAACAATGAACTTCAACTGGGTTCGTTCAGACTGGTTTCGTACAGACTTCAGTTCCATTACGAGGAAACTTAGATTGAGGCTGAACTCATTCAACCTAGACCAATTTGCACATGCTATCAGCTTCCAAAACCAGATTCAAACTTCTCAATATTGAACAGGACTACTCACATCCATGCCAACAATTTATATTAAATTCTAAATAAGCAACTCAGATATTGAACAGGATAGCTATACATGTATAGTTACTGAAAAAACAAAACAACCAACTGATTCTACTCAAATGGTGACATCTGATAGTGAATTTCTCCTCCTTTTAGTTTTACAATCGAATTTGAGGCAGTCAACAGCATAAGGGAAGGGATGGTGTAAGAAGATTGGAAATCAACTGACGAACCAAATCAAAACAAGTTCGCAGTTGAATGTAATGCAACTTTTGCTGCACTTTTCAATGAAGGCACCAATCTTAAGCTGATTTCATTAGAATGTCCCAATTGAAAAGCTTTCTCAAGGATATACCTCCTTTACCAATCAAATGGCACAGTTACCAACATAATACCCCAAAACTAATAAATGAGAAAACTAACCAAAGATATATTAACTCCTAACTGGCAAAAACGGTAGACCCTACATAACATAACAGAATTGCAACTGTGGTAAAGAGGGAAAACAGTGGAACGAAAATACCTGTTTAGGCAAGAATCATATTGGTAGACATCTGCTGAGGCAGATCCAGTTCCCTCGATCATCGAAAAGCCAGCAATGACAAGAAGCTTTCCGTTGAGAACTACCACCCCAAACCCAGCCTTTACAGGACCAGGCATCAGAGGGAGAAGATGATGTTTATGTCCCAAACAATCTAAAACCTCCCAGTGGCTCCCCTTTCCTTCAGCATCCAAAGTCAGAACATAGAGCCATTCCTCAAGCATGCCAGCCAGTTTTCGAACAGTGATGAACTCTTTGCTTTGGATAAAGGACCTCCATCGCTTGCAGACGCCACCCATAGAAGGGAAGTTAGAACGAGGAACAAGAGCAAGGCAATTCTTTGCCACATCATCAGGCAGTCCAGGTAAGATGGGGCTGATCAAACGATCAGGAACCAGAGAAGTTAAAAAGGGGTTGCTTTTTGAATGGGTTGGGGTATCTTGCTGGACTGAATTTGAGAAGCACATATTTGATTCTGTAAGTCTCTTTTTTGCACAAACAAAACCGGGCATTTTCTAGATAACGAAGCTAGTAAAGGTTATGAGAGATTGACACAACTCCAATGTTGATCAATAATTCCTCTCAAAAAAAAAAAATAATCGTATAACTGATTAGAAGGCTTTTGATTAAAGAAATTCATGATATCCTTTGCTTATAGGTATTTTCAAAGACCAAGGCATGAAAGAGGTTGCAGAACGGATCACGTGGGCTGTGAACGCAGATGATTTTCGGTGTCTTGTCCAATCAGATTCAAATGCCATGCCAGTTGTACTCTTCCTAAAGTAGTTCTTGATAGTTGTTCTACCCAGTGTAATGCCAACCTCTAATGTGCCTGAATTGTTGTTTTTTCCCCCACACATTGCCCGAATATCTACAGACAATTATACAAAGTTAAAGCATCCAAGCATAATGCAAAACTTCAAATAATAATCAACAAAATCAGAAACTCGGAGAAGCTAGAAGAAAACATACAAGCCAAGGCCATAGAACTTGATAAGTTTTAGCCTCCAGTAACTTCCATTTTATAATAGTGAATAATCACCTGCAATGAATTACCTAAAGAGAAGAGAAGTAGAGAACTGAGTACAATAGCCTACAAAATCAACCCAAATACAATGGAAAATCTCTAACTAAAATTTGTAGATTCATGAATACTTTGAAATCTTCAAGTTTTTTTTTTTTTTTAGGTAAAATGGGTAAGCTGTAGAAATCTTCAAGTTGATTTAACTATTTGTTTTATCAACTTGGCAATATAAAAATACAGCACATTTCTAAGGAGTAGGACTATCTAAGTCTAATATATAAGTCCATACAAGAGGAAAAGTTAAGCCATAACTTGAACTGGTAGGCGGACGGAAAGCAATAATCAATTGAAAGTTAGGAACAGACCAAACATATTGAACCAAACTTCCAAAAGGGTGAAGATCAAATTCTACCAACTCACCCACCATCCAACACCCCCCCCACACACACATATATATAGATCTATACTTGAATGTAAAGGAAAAGAATAAAAATAAAAATGCATATATATCTATTATGAAACTATATAATCATGAGAATCATAACAAAAAATGAAAATTAATGAAAAACAAACTAAACCAACAAAAACATTTTAAGTTGCTCACAGACTAGAGGAACAGATTAGATCTAAAGCCCTCAGCTGAAATCAATTAAATTGTTATGGAGAGATCAAATGCAAACCACCAAATAAATTAAAACATATCAGACTACGGAAAATGATAAGTGATGGACATTGGATTTAAATCAATTCAAAATTGGGAAATTGAAAAAACCCAAACATACCCAAACAAGTATAACAAAATTTGCACATAAAAAAGTTTTTCTTTTCGGTGTGAATCTAACTTCAAGAAATGTTTTTTATCTCAATCTTCACCTGGAAATTAATAAAGAGATTTTGGAGATAAAAGAACAATAATTTTCTCGAGAAATTCTTTCCAGGATCTAAGTTTGAGCTGGAAAAACAGAGTCTTTGTCAAATTTACCATACGTGAATAAAAGAACTATCTATCTTAACAAAAATGGAGTAAAGCTTTCAAATTTCAAAACCCATAAACATTATAGTAAATAAAAATAAAAAATAAAAAATAAAGGAAATCATAGAAGAAAAAGTAATAGATTTATGGAAGAAGAACAATTGAAAATGAGCATACATACATGTTTGCTCACATTTGGGAACGAAAGCGTAGAAGACAGATGAAAGATTAGAAGAAGCTCAAAGTACCTGATAAATAGTAGTAAACCTCCGAAAGCTTCGAGGATGTGAATCGAATTTGTAAGGATACAGATATGGATATAATCAATATATATATAGTATAGAGAGAGATAGAGAGATGAGGAAATGTTGGGATGAGTGAGGGTCTCGTGAGCTGGGAATGAGGTTTAAAGACCCGATTTAGCAGCGAAGATAGAACTAGCTGACCACCACCACGTCAGATTCAGATTTCTGAATCGGCACAACCGGTTAGGACAGTGACAAAACGGGTTCTTTTTACAAAATCCTATATATATATATATTTTCTCCGTTAGTGTTTATGGAGTATATAAAGGGAGAGACGTGAATATATAGATAGATTGATAAATTATATATATAGAAGATAATGAGATTAATTTAATAATTATTTTTAAGGAAATATATATAGTATATAAGGGAGGAAAATTTTTAAGGGGTATTTTTACACATTTCTAAAAAATATATACATATTATAGGAATATATATATAATAAGGGAAAGAAAAAATCTATGGGGGCATCTGCCCCCGGTACTATACTACTTTCGTCTCTATTTGTGTCGTAATCTTGTCGGCACGAATTGAGATGATAATTAAATATATCGTATTCGTATTTGAATTGTCAGTCCATTTATAACTCATTTAAATAATCGTGTCACATAAGCATATCGTGTTCGTGTCAAAAATTACTTAAACGTGTCTTATCGTGTAGTTTCACATGATATCTAAGTTTTGATCAATTTATTAAACAGATTAGATATGTCGTGTCTTGTTCGTATCCGAATTTCTTAACATGAATAACAACCGTGTCATATTCGTATAGACCCATACAACATAATGCCCATACTCATAGTACTTTGTCACAACCCGCCAACTATACAAAAGTCTCCCATTGCACGCTGATAATATAAAAGGAAATGACCAATATTCAAGGTTGCTTTTCTTTTTATAAGTTTTATTACAATCATTATCTCTATAGATAAAAGACGACATTTATGGGAATGTAAGATGTTTTTTTAAGGATATATTATCATTTTGTTTCTACTAAAATAGAGTATACACGAGAAATGGTAAGCACTGCTCATAAATACCGACACACATGTTTTGTGTCTAAAATCTGAATTAGATCGTGTGGCTGTAAGAACCCAATCATGACGATTCTTTGTCTAAACAATACTAAAGTGGGCCCAGCCACGTATGCACAATCAGGCAAGGTTTTGGGAGTAGATGGTTAAATGGATTAGAGATCCAAGATTGTCTCTTGATTAATTATTTTGATCTTCATTTTAATAAATGTTAATTATAAAACTAATAGACTTGTGGTCACTTTCTCTAGTCCCTCTCTTTGATTATTCTTGTGTTAGTTGGAGAAAATTATTATTATTATTTTTATTTTTTATAATTTTTTTTTTTTTAATACCATTCATAAAGGGTGTGGTATTTGGACTATTCATGCCCGAGTTTGATATTACATAAATGGCTAATATTTCTTCACCTTTTTCTAAACCCATCGACTTTTATGAAAAATCAGACAAATGGATAGTGACAGATAAAATTATGTGAGGAGGTTGGCCTTTCAATTTTAAAAAATAAAAATAAAAACCAGTAGGTATATAATGTTGTGTTAATAGTGAGATTTTTTTTTTTTTTTTTTTTTTTTTTTTGTAATTTTACTAGAGATAATTTTAAAATTTTATATGTATATAATTCAAAAAAACAAAGAAAATTAGTAGATATATTATAATAATAATAATAAATACAATGGGGTCAATAAGTCCGTGCTTAAAAATGGAATATGAAAAGTAAAATAAAAATATTATACAGTCACTGGCACACCCCTTTTGTTAAAGAATGAGACAAACAACATAAAAGAATTCCACTCTTTTTTTTTTTTTTTTTAGGGTACGTGTATAGATATTTTAAAGACTTACTTTCCGAATTCCTATCAAAATCGTTATACTCTTGGGGCAAATCTCACTCTCACTTGATGAGTTAGTAGATGACATTAAATATTTTCAGAAGGGTGGTGTTATTCTTGTTAAAGAGGTTAGCCCACTTATATAAATCAAGTTAGTAGATGCCATTAAATATTTTCATAAAAGGATTGTTATTCTGGTCGAAGAGGTTAGCCCACTTATATAATTTGGGCAAGGCTATCATACGGACTTGAATTTTTTCTTTTTTTTTTTGGCAAACTAGGAGAGGGAATGACTCAAACATAGATACACTCGTTTGGAGAGTTGGGCTTTTAACCAATTAAGTTGTGGAGTGATGTCTTGTAAACTTAACTTAGCAATCTTAAAAAATTATCTCTAGAGAAAAAGTATAAAAAAAAAAAAATTTTGAATGAATTTATGTCACAATTTAGAAATAAAAAATTAAAAAAAACTGTCAAATCTGGAAATTTCATGAACAAAGATTCAATGACAAACACCTACTTATCATCGATTTGCTTGATTTTAAATAAACAAAACAAGTGAAATGGACTTGTGGTTTTGTGTGATTCCACTAACCAGATTCCGATCAAAATGTCATTTTTCACAAGAGAATGACCATTCCGATGTGATAAGTAGTGAATGCCACACCTCACATGCCATGGAAAATCAAAATGTGGCTCCCAATCTCGGACTCACCATCACAGCAATTTAGGACGTTGGATTATTATATTAAATATAAAATAACAGATAGGGTTTGGATGAGCGTGACTACAACAATACAACCTGTACGTGTCAAGTGGTTGGCACTGACGTAATTTATAGTTAAGATTTGTGGCATTTTTTGAGTTAATGTTGAATCTTTTCTTGTTGGCGCCTGTGGCCGTTGGATTGGTTGAATGGAGTCGAAGTTGACGGCGTATGGGCCATTTCACCATAATGGGACCCGCAAGAATGGGAGAGGTTTTGGATCTCCTCCATCCCTGTGGAAGGATCAGAATGTAGAAAGGGTGGCGCATATATATATATATTAGATTAAATGAGATTTTATCAGTCTAATTCGTAATCCGACTCTTGAGATATAGATTCAATTTTTTTAAATACATCATCAGTTCATGAGTGTAGCAATCTGATTCAATTCGATTCACAGATCGGATTGAATTCGCTGATTATTTGCTCACCCCTAAAATTTAGGTTGTGAGTCCAATAATATTATAGCGGTTGCTATTTGGCTCGGTAAGTCCGCCATTATTTTTAAATTGACATCGTATGAATGATGTTCTCGTAATATAACATGAGTTGATGAGCAATTTTTATTAATAAATCAATTTGTGAAGAGAAATTTTTATTAAGTGGTGTGAACAATTTTATTGTATAGTAAATTTTTATTGGTCGGCCATATTAATGATATGTCATGCCTCGGCTCATTTAATATCTTATTATAAAGAGTAAAGATATTGAACGAGGCAAACATATATAAGAGCATTTTCATTGGTGGACATACCAATAACATGATAAATTCAGTTTTACAATTGCTTAGCATAAAAATTTTGTTTAGAGCAAGCTAGTGATTATTGAGAAAAATGTGACTTTTTCCCGTTGAAATAATAATTGAATTTATGTAATAGGTGAGAGATTTCTCATTTCTTAGCGGAAAAAGATTTATGACCATGAAAGAGAGAGATCAGACGAAACATAATCGACTAACTAAAGGCTAATGGTTAGTTTGCCCTCTTTTTTTTAATTGAAATCAATAAACAATAACATTATTAAATAGGGAGTAAATATGAGTTACCAGGGGATTGGTGATGGTGGTAAAGTAAAAGGATTGGGTTTTAATATGTTTGGATTTCAAACCTCAATATTCTTATTATGATCCCTAATTTAACGGTGCTATTGTTATGGGGCCGGTTGCAAGCTTAGAGTGGGTCCAAAGGATCCTATCTAAGGGAGTTTTGATATATGAGAGAGAAAGTGTTCGCCGTATCAATTGGTCCGTAACGAATATTTAAATTACCGATACTGATATTCATCCGTATACCTGTGAATTTTACCATTCACAATAGTACCGGCGGGTACGGATTTATTACCCGCGTTATGCTCATTGACATTTTTTCCCGTACAGGCCATATTGTCTTTTTCATGTTTGTACTTCGCAGACTTGCAGTCTCTTTGCAGGATTAAAAAGACCCAAATAAAAAAAAAATAAAAAAAAATTGGAAGTTTCAATGTAGTTATAAAGCTGAGTACATTAGACAGTGAATTTCAACAAAAAACAATGATTGTCTTTTGGAGTCTACCCTTGATTTGAAGAAAGTGGGTTGTATTACCGTGTGTTACGGGCCTATGGCTTTGTAGTTTGTACACAGAGCATAAGTTTTGAGTCTTGTCGAATTATTCATTAAAATTCACCAAATTTCATTAAAAATTCAACTTTATCGAATTATATTGTAAAAAGTCACATATTTGTACATTTTAGTCAATATGTGCGTGTTTAAAAAAAATTCACGATTACAATAATTGTTACTGTTACATAATATCGATTTTTGTCTGAATTCATTACACTGTTACTGCAAACAATGGGTGAGAGAAGGAAAAAAAAAAAAAAAAACAAAAGTATCTATCACATCCTTCTATGAATTCAGTCATGGTAACTTTTACCTACAAAACATAACCTTTGCCAAAAGATAAATTAAAAAATTTAATAAAGGTTGAATTTTATATTTGCACCTTGGTTGGACTACATTTACTCAGCAATACTATATACGCATCAACTATATTATATATATATATATATAACATATTAGGGGGAATATTTATTGTCACAGTTGTCTATTTAAACCCACGTTGTAGATCTTGTCGGCTTATGATGCGTGAAAAATGAAACCCAAGAAAAACATTGCAAAATGCTCACAATCATATACTAGTATGATTTGATTTGCACTTGTGACATTAATGTGTCACTCGTACACATACATTGCAATTATGGACCGAAATTAAAGTTGCACAAAGGCCACAACTATTGGCACCTTAATACTTTTTGTCATTTTTAATGACTAAAATATATAATATATAATATATGAAATGAAGAAATAATTTTTTCAACCGTGCACTATTTATTGTTATCAAAGGATATGTAATCCAACCGTATAATTTTATAAAAGGACTACATTAGAGTATTATATGAAATATGTGTGATTTTTAAACGTGACATGCGTACTAGGCTAAAAATCATTAGAAATTTATGTTGGTTGAACAGAAAGTTGGCACATAAAAATCTACCTATACCTAAATGTC